ATAAAGAGATTTCCATTAAAACAATTTTCTATTACTAGAATACTTTAGACTATCAAAAAATTTTTTTGAAAAAACGACTGAAGACTCTTTTCTTTTTTGTTTTTGTTTTTTTATTTTTTTGACGGCGAAGCAGAATGCTGGTAAAAATTACTTCAAAATTCACACTAAAACAAGCGATGAAGACGAGGAAAGAGAGGGAAAATAAAGACAAAAAAGAGAAGAGGGAAACGACAACCTAGTCGTTACTCACTTTTTAGCTCTGATTAGCTGAAAGTTTTCTAAATGTAAAACGATGAGGAAGAGGACAAGGAGGACGAGGAAGAGGACTAAGGAAGATGATGATGACGACGATAGAAATGTAAAAGGCGTGCGCATTCCGACTTCCATCTATCCACCAAAAACTGCTATAGGAGCCGTAAAATATTAAAAAAAAAAAAAAATTAAAAATTAAAAAAATAGGAAACTATATCCGATAAAAGCGGAACAACAAACGAGCACAGAAATATACAAACGAAAATAAAGATAAAACGCTCTGGAAAACAAAAAAAAAGCAACAGAAACGCTGAAGTTAAAAAGAAATTAGAAAAAACAATAGCTTAACGCAGCCAGTGCGCGAATTACTAAAAGGAAATAGAAAAAGCACAGCTCGCTTGCCTAGAAACTGGAAGAGTAGAAGATACGGAGGAGTAAATTATTATAAGACAGTTGTAACAACTTTTAGATGGATAATGATATTACTATTAATAGCATAGACTACGAGTGCCTTTCAAATGAAACAGTTTACGACAGGTGCAGAAGTCATAGCCCCAAGAAAAAAATGGCAACGAACCTTTTCAAATCACAGTTCAGACATTTTTTAAAAATGTGATAATAAATCTAAGAAAATAAAATAAAAAGCAACAAGAAAAATTCAATTGAACAAACAGCTAAAACAAAACACCCACAACGGTATAAACTAGCAAAAACTTAAGTGTACAGATGTGACCATGAATTAATTTGCCAGTGATATTACTCGAACTCCAACTACCCAAAAACGATAACTAATAATATCCTACATAATAGAGGGGAGAGAGGAAATTTCCCTTTGTCAATGAAGTTGATCCAACAAATAGTCACAAACTGACAAAATTCAAATAACAACAAATAGCTGATCTAGAAGGCAGTAATTATTGTAACCTGATGTGCTAAACGCACTTAGTTGTTGTTAACGCTAGGCTGATAATGATACAGATAAAGACGATAGTCTTTACTGGCTAGAACAACAGAACCATCTTCAACAAGCGCCACATCAAAGCACTGAGCATGCTTCACCTTGCTTTCCAAAGCTGATATCATTGTGCCATCCTAGATTTTACAGAAAATGATTACCATAAAAACATATCTATCAAAAATGAAGTTGAAGAGCACAAAGGCAGCATAAATAAAATGTAGAATATAAGAACCTGGCTAAAAACGGTAAGGTTGAAGTTGTTATGGTTGTCAGCAACAACCACTTCACCAGCAGCATTTATGCCAACCCCTATTGGATAATTCGTTATGCCTTCGCCACCAATTTGACGAATAAACTGCCCCTCGTAATTAAAAACCTAGATAAAAATGAGTCTTTTTAATTCCTCATAATATTTCTTAATTTTGATTTCGATCTTTTAAAAAAGTTGCTGTAAACAACCGAAAGCTTTAATGAAAACTTTATAAAAAAAAAAACATAACCACTTAAACACTATACTTTAATGCAATGAGCACGGTTGTCTGAAATTAGAATCTCTTGTTTGTCGTTGGTGCACACACCGTTAGGAAACTCCAAATAACGAGAACAACTAAACTTTTGAAGGATGCTTCCAAACATATCGAAGATGATGACACGCATAACCTAAACAAAATACGATCAGTTCTGAAAAACTAAAGTTTAAAAGGAAAGAAAAAAGCTACCTTGCACTCAACAACCACTATTCGACCCTTGTTATCGACGCAAACTCCACGCGGATGCTGTAAAATATTGGCTCCAAATTTGCGTAAGAACTGACCGTACTGGTTGTAAATTTGAATTTGGTGAGTAGGCGAACGTTCCGTGACAATAAAATCCCCAGTTGCCCGATTAACTGCCACACTAAATCGAAGCGAGGCAATGAAGCGAAATCATGTCGCAAAAAAAAAAAAAAAAAAAAAAAAAAAAAAAAA